GTGGGACACCTGGATAGATCTGTGAATGCTGGGCTGGGCAGGGATGAAGCTRGGGCCCAGCTCAGGGTGATGCTCCCCCGGGGGGTTTGGAGCCTTTGGGGGATGGAGGAAGCAGCGCTGCATCGCACCAGGTGATTGATCCGATTATGGTGATGGAGGTTCTCTCTGGAAGGAGATTGTTGCCTGAGGACTTTAACCCTGCTGAGCATTCACGGCTCAGCTACTTGRATAAAATCTGCAATTCTTCATTCCRAGAGGGGGAATCAYACCAAGAAGAAAGGGAGGCCCTTCTGCCCWGCACAACCCTTTCCATGTCTTGCAGGTAACTTTGCTGCGATTGAATTCTCTCATTTCAGAAAACAGTATTTCCTTTAAATCACTCCCTTTTGGGACAATAAATAATTTCTCACCACGATGGTTTTTTACCCGCTGCAAACTGGATTGCAGYGAGCGTCCTCCAGAACATCTCCCCACCTTTAGCCCGGAGGCCCCTGGCCAGGAAGCTCTTCAGGGATCTCTCCCTCCCTCCTTAGGACTGTTTGTTTCTGCAGCCAGAGATTAGGATCAAAAGGTTCGTTCTGTGTGGGGAAACGCTTCTTCCCACCCTTCAGAGTCAGAGGGAACAGCACAATTAGAAACACTTCAGATGCTTGACCCACGCTCGAGCCTCCAAACAAAAGTTGGGAGGAGAGGGCTGATGTTTTCCAGGCCCAATTAGCATTTGGTTGTAATTGCTGAGCTCTCGGGCTGCCTGCATCCCTTCTCCCCGGCCGCCCAGCGAGCGCACGCCGGCACCAGCTCCTTCCTTCTGATCCGTCACCATATGCCCGTCTTTTACAGTTCTTTGGTGCGTGATGCTCAGAGAGTGGATAATTAGCTAAATGAATTAATTGACATTCATACTTGCAATTAGCAACCGGTTACGAGCAGCAATTCTCCTCGGGACCGGCTAAAATTTCTCAGGGATCCGTGTTAAAACACTGGAAAATCGTTCGGGATGAATAGCGAGGGCCGTGAGCGCTCATGGCGCCCGGGTTCTGCCCGGGTAATAAACAAGCCCGTGCAAAAGCAGAGCAGGCATGGAACGTGTTGGATCTGCTGCTGCTGCTCGGGAAAAGGAGGAGGAGGAGGAGGAGGAGGAGGAGGAGGAGGAGAACTTTCCAGCCTCGGAAGAAATCCGGGCCAGATGGGCGGCCTCCAGCCCGCAGCTCCCACCAGCTCCCGGCTAACCCTTTCCACCCCCACTCACCGGAGAGCTCCCAGCCAGGCCCCGCCGGTGGAGGCTGCTCGTGCAAAGCAATGGGAATTGGATGTCG